AGATACCGTTGATCGAATCTCGGGCAAATAACATACCGATGACAAAGGGAACAACGTATGTTGTTATGCGGTCTGACTGATAAAGATCTTCGTAGAATATGTAGGAGCCAATATGAGCATCCAGGTTCCGCTATTGGTTATTGACCGGAGACGTGTCTCGGTCATGTCTACATTGTTCTCGAACCCGTAGGGTCCGCACGCTTAAGGTTTCGATGACAGTTATATTATGAGTTTATGAGTTTTGATGTACCGAAGGAAGTTCGGAGTCCCGGATGAGATCGGGGACATGACGAGGAGTCTCGAAATGGTCGAGACGTAAAGATCGATATATTGGACGACTATATTCGGACATCGGAAAGGTTCCGAGTGGTTCGGATATTCTTCGGAGTACCGGGGAGTTACGAGAATACGGGGGAAGAAGTATATGGGCCTTATTGGGCTTTAGGGGAGAGGGAGAAGCAGGCCGCGCCCCCCCCCCCCCATTAGCTAGTCCGAATTGGACTAGGGGAGGGGCGGCGCCCCCTCCTTCCTTCTCTTCCCTCTTCCCCTTCCTTGTTTCCTACTCCTACTACATGGAAGGACTCCTAGTTGGACTAGGAAAAGGGGAATCCTACTCCCGGTGGGAGTAGGACTCCCCTAGGGCGCGCCATAGAGAGGGTCGGCCCTCCCCTCCTCCACTCCTTTATATACGGGGGCAGGGGGGCACCTCTAGACACACAAGTTGATCTTCATGATCGTTCTCTTAGCCGTGTGCGGTGGCCCCCTCCACCATAATCCTCGATAATATTGTAGCGGTGCTTAGGCGAAGCCCTGCGACGGTAGAACATTAAGATCGTCACCACGCCGTCGTGCTGACGGAACTCTTCCCCGACACTTTACTGGATCAGAGTCCGGGGATCGTCATCGAGCTGAACGTGTGCTAAAACTCGGAGGTGCCGTAGTTTCGATGCTTGATCAGTCGGACCGTGAAGACGTACGACTACATCAACCGCGTTGTCATAACGCTCCCGCTGTCGGTCTACGAGGGTACGTAGACAACACTCTCCCCTCTCGTTGCTATGCATCACCATGATCTTGCGTGTGCGTAGGAATTTTTTTTGAAATTACTACGTTCCCCAACAGATAAACATTGAACCAAAGCCACCACATCACAGAGTCGTTGTTATTGCTTTCATGTGCTAATACAAGCATGTCAGCATAGATCCACAATGTTGTAAGGGTCCTGCCACCCTGCTCTCGAAATGTCACCTCCATGACCATCTCCAGAACCACTGCGTTGGCCTCCAAGCTTCCCACGCTTGGTTGTCGACCTTGGCCACAACAAGGAAGCCCAAATCCACTCATAAAGTTTGAATTCGTCCACTCATAAATTTTAATTCGGCGTCATGGCTCCATCCAACACACGCCACCACCGCACACCACTACGACACCATACTAGAGGTGCCCTCTTCAACTCTGACGTCCACGCTCTCAGCTGATCCACTCGTCATACAAGCTCATACCACCATCATCTAGAGTAGAGTTCCGGAGGCACTAGGGTTTCGTCCCATGTCTTTGTGGTGTGCGAGAGACCGGTGGTGGTCCGTGTGCATGATGCGAGGTGGAGGTTCATCGAGCGGATCTGGGTGAAAACCTCATTCTCCGCTTGTTGCGAAGACCGGTGATGGCGGCGCTCTTTTGTGTCATTACCTTATTGAAGGCATCGCCGTGGAAAAGCTCCAGACCTCTATCCGCTACCTCCCAGGGAAACCCTAGATTAGTAGATCAGATGACGGTGGCGCTCTGATGTCGTTTCCCCCTTGAGGGCGCCATTCTTGGAGGTGTACACGTGCTCGAGGGACCAATGGACGGCTTCTTTGGTGGAGCGGTGTTTCATCTTACTCGTTGATGGCGGCGGATCTTGGCGGCATGGCGCAGTGGAGACTCGGCGTCCGATGTACGGAGATAGATTCGCACAGGAGGAGGACGCTGTCTGGCGTCATGGTGCCGTCGATGATAAAAAGGCATGGCCAGGTCGGTGCTTTAGTTTCTGCTCTGAAGATGGATTGGTGGAAGGCGGGGGCGACAACACATGAGAGTGCATCGGATCAGTTTGTACCCAAAACCCAGTATTTGGCTTGGTTGGGGTCTCCGGCTTTAGATGTTAGGCTTTGGTGCGATGTCTATTTGGTATCAGGTTCGGACTATCGGCACCCCTTCATCAAGTGGATAGGAGTAGCGACAATTGTTGCTAAGATGGTGGTTTCAGACTACCTGATGTACTACTTTATAAGGTCTTTGTGAATAACTAATAAAATGGTTGCATGCATTGTTCAGATGCAGAGGCCGAGGGTAATCCTCTTTTACAGAAAAATGATTTTGCTACTTGTTTATTAGTCCTTATTGTATTTTGAGTCAAAGTTTGGCCACATATTTGGTTAGCAAAAATGTTAATGCATGTCATCGAAAAATATTTCATTGAATTAGTATTTGTTTTCAGTGATATTATTTTTGCAACATATCACTTTTATTTGGTGCTAAAGGGACAGACGTAGGCGAGGAGTCCTGAGGCATCAGTCAAAGGTTTTCATATCGGTGCAACAAGACCAAGACCAGCAGGATGGCAGGACGGAGGTCACCGTGGAGCCCAGGACGGCGTCACCACCAGAGCCTTTGGCGGGCAAAGACCATCCTTAGTCAGGATAACTTGTACTAGTTGTCTCCCTTCAAATTTGGCCGTTGTGGCATCCCTTTCCGCCAGCACTTGGGAAGAGGACCAGGGCCTTTATAAATAGGGCTAGCCACCACAGTAGGAAGGAGGATCCAAACTGAATCGAGGCCATTCAGATCGTCATCATCCACACAAACTCACCAAGCACAAAAGCACCTCTCCTCAGGAGGCTGTTCTTCCCTTGTAACTGTTCATCCTCAGCCCAAGAGGCAATCCACCACACCATACTGGAGTGGGATATTACACCATATCGGTGGCCCGAACCAGTATAAATCTTGTGTCCCTTTGTTCTACGAATTTGACACGCTTAGCTCTAAGATTGCGGTGAGAGCGTGAGCTAGAGGGGGGGAGGGGAGATCTTCGTGCGCACCCCAGAGTTCGAACCTCAAGGGTTTTACCGGAACCCAAAATCCGACAAATAGTGGATGATGCATAACATCCTAATCGTTTAACCATCAGTAACTAATTTCATCTTTAGCACAACACAACAAATCTAATATCCTAGTCCCTTCAGTTCTGGGTGAATAACACCCAATTACAGTAGTTTACAATTTTTTTTGATATACTTGGTTGAGGCAAATTATATACAACATAAATCTTGTGCCAAATTAAAGTTGTAAATGTGCGCCAAATCAAAGTTGCAAACGGGCAAGACAAAGAGAAATGATGAATTACTTCCTGATGATAACAAAAGCAATATTTTTACTAGCCTGCCAGTTTTGTTTTGTTTTTGACAGCAGCCTTTTTTTTCCGTGTGTGTTGTCTATGAAAAATAGGTTGAATATTAACACTGTTTCCATACATATACTTCACAGTAAAAACACCATTGATATTCAACCTTCATCAAAATACACCGTTGTCTATGTAAGATTAATTGACATCAACCTATGAACTAATGGAGCCACGCCACCACTCCTAATTCCTAAACATGCATTTCAGTTACTAGTAAAGCAAATAAAAAAATCGCCGCCTCCTCCTTGTCCACAAAAAGAGCTAGGGTTTTTACCTCCTGCCGATGCTGCCGCAGATCCGCCTCTTCTCTGGTGGCTCTAGGGCCATGGGGGCGCGGTGGATCTCGGCAAGGGTCCGCGGCAGGGCTCCGTTTTTAATTGTTTCTTTCAGTTTTGCTAGGGTTTGTGTCCTGTTCAGGAAGACGAGATGACGGCGGCTCTCTAAAGATGAAATAAAGGTCTGTCCGCCTAGCTCCCGTTCCAGCGGTGCGTCTAGCACTGTTGGTGGGCCCGTGGAGATGTGTCTCCGGTGGATCTATCTTTGATGGATTTGCTCGGATCTCGTCATTGTTCGTCTACGTTCGTGTGTTTTCGGGTTGGATCTTTCTGATCTATGTTATTCTTCATCTGCGGCGGTTGTTGGTGCGCTGGTCCTATAAGGCCTTAGCACGACGACTTCCCGACTGTTTACTACAACAAGTTGTGCCCGACTCCGGCGACGGAGGGGTGATGATGGCAACGCACCTTCGGCTCGCTTCAGTGCTTGTAGTCGTTGCTAGACGGTCTACGGGCCTGACTGTAATTTTTATTATTTCTGGTATTTATTGTACTGCCATGATTGAAAATGAATAGGTCGAAATTTTTTCTAAAAAAAGTAAAGCAAAAGAAAAATGAACCGAGAAAAATATTGAGTTTTGGAGCACCATTTTTTTCAACGCTCGAGTTTAGCCTGTTTTCATTCTCTAAGTTTTTACACATCAGTTCGGCTTTAGATCCAACGTCCACTCCAACAATGCAATCGAACATCGCGCCAAGGTTCGTTCTACTATAAGATTCCATACCGAAAGATTCCTCGTCGTGTTGTTTGATGGCATTGAAAATCGTGTTAGAAATGAACGGTTGTAGTACTAAGTACTTTCTCTGTCTCATGATATAAGAACATTTTCGACACTAGTATATTATGAGAGGGAGGGAGTATTAGAGCAAGTATAATAAGGCTGACTCAGCTGGCTATAAGCCCTTCCACGTCAGCCAAATCACATCTGGAGGGGAGAGAAAGAGGGAGAGAGAAGCGAACGGGTGCTTCGTCAAGCGCCGGGCTGCGGCACAAGATACGAGAGCTTTGCGCCCGCTTGCAGCCCGTGGCGAGCGCTAGAGCCGGCGCTCTCGATCCCCTGCGCCTCTCCCGCCTCCCGCGCTTCTCCTTCCTCCTTCGCGCGCAAAAATCAGCCCGTGCCGTCGCCCCAAATAGCTTCCTCGCGCCAAATCAAGCCTTCCAAAATTTCCCAAATCGCCACCTCTCCCGAACCCTAGAACTGTCGCCGGCGCACATCAAGGAGATGGGTCAGCAGTCCAAACGGACGCGCGCGTCGGCACCTCGTGAAGCCCCTCCACCAGCGCCTCTGCTCACCCCACCGCCAGCGCATCTCCTGGTCCCGCCGCCGGCGCATCTCCTGGTCTCGCCGGCGCCTAAGTCCGCCCCGCCGCCGGGGATCCCATCGGCCTTCCCTTCAAAGCAGAGAACAAGCACTTGGATCCCCCCAAGACCACAAGAGTCTCTGGCGGCTAGTCTGCAGCAACCAAGTGAATCGGGTCCTACGGCTCAAGGTCCTTGTTGGGCACCGCCTGCCTGCATCGGTGACTCTACATCACCTTGGTACATGGCTGGCAATATGGACTACTCTGATCCACAAGTATGGTATGAATTTTCTCCATTGCTTATCTCAACTCTGATCGTGGTGTCATTTCTTAGAGCTGCTGACACACTTGTATGATATGCTAGTTAGATGATACAACATCAAAAATCTATCTACTACTCTACTGTCTATTTTCAGAGTTCATTTTTAGTAGCTTAATAATGATAGAAAAAGAAAAGTTTCTTCTGCTAGATGATCTTTCTTTGATGTACAGGAGCACGTGACTTCTCGTTTGCTGAATCTTGGATTGCAGTGTAGTGTAACTTTTCAGTTTCCACATGATAGTGTGTATGATATATGACTGCATAAACTATTTTTCCTTTAAATAGTTGTTGTGATCAATTCAGATTTTTCCTTTAAATACTTGCTGTGATCAATTCAGATTTTTCTTTTAAATAGTTGTTGTGATCAATTCAGATTATTTTTCCTTTAAATAGTTGCTGTGATCAACTAGTATGCATCTCAAATGTATTGTATTCAGATTTTACAAATTTGAGTATATACTTGCATGTAGTTCGGTGCTGATCGCTCTTCGTTTCTTTATGTCGTTGAGCAGGGGAGTGGATTCTCACCCACCTGGTGGTTACCTTAGTTACTTTCAGAACACGGCAGGCCCCACACAACCTATGCACAATGGGAGTTCACCACAACCAGTCAATGCTGGCGATGACACAAATGGTGGTGATTGTGGAAGGACCGAAAAACGCTTGCTATGGACAAAACAAGAAGATCTTCGATTGGTATGTCTCTTTTTGCATTCATGCTGGCTCCATGTGTTTCATTACTAGCAAATTCAATTAACCCCTTCTGATAATATTGTAGGTTAGTGCTTGGTTGAATAATTCCAATGACCCAATCCAATCAAACTACAAGAAGAATGAACAATATTGGAAAGATGTTACTGCTGTCTACAATAGTACCACCCCAAAAAACAGGGAACGACTAGTCAAGCAAGTGAAAGATCGCTTTGGGAGAATTAAGAAAAGGGTTGCATGGTTTTGTGCGAGTTATAAGGAGGCTAGTGCTTTGTATGCTAGTGGTGAATCTGATGCAGATTTAAAGAAGAGGGCAATGCAAACTTATGAGGAAGATCACAAAAAAGATGGTCCGTTTATGTTTGAGCATTGCTGGGAGATTCTTAAAAAGGAACCAAAATGGGACGCATATTTGGAACGCCTAGAAGATCTGGAGCCGGACAAGAGGAAGTTTAGTGTTGATGATGAAGTAGGGAAGCATTCCACTATAGATGATGATGATGATGAAGATGAACGTCCACCGGGTGGCAAGCAAGCTAAGGAGAAGCAGAAACGAAAAAGAAAGGATGAAGTTTGTATAATAGATCTTGAAGATGGGCTTCAAAAGTTTGTAGATGCCCAGAATGCAGCAAATGAAGGCCGCAAAGAGATGTTAGAGACCCAAAGGCGTGTTTCTGCTGAGAATCTTGAAGCACGGAAGCTTGCTCACCTTGCGGCAAAAGATCACAAAGAGTCGGTCATGCTAGAAACATATCGCTCATTGGTGATGCAAGACACAACCGGGATGCCTGAAGATGTGAGATCTGAGCATGTGTTGGCATTGAAGTGTTTAAGGGAGAAACTATTTGGCAAAATGGTCTAAGGTATTTCCTACTGTCCGTTGTCTTAATTAAAAGTGGCCATGTACTTAAATTGTAGTCAATGGTCCAGTACTCTAGTTACATTGTAGTCAATGCAGTCCAGATAACCATGCAATAGTGGAAAAACTCATCTAGTCAATAGTCAAATTATACTTAACTTCTATGCATTCCAGATAACCATGGAGTGGAAAAACTCATGTAGTCAATAGTCAAATTACACTTAACTTCTATGCAGTCCATAGTAATTATACGCCCAGGTAAACAAGACACATCCATATAATGCTCCATCTCCTCTTCAAACTCTTCCACCCAAACCCATCTTCCTTCCTCTACTTCTCATCTTCCTACCAAGCCTACCGACCCATCTTCCTCACCCACCATGTCCGATTCATCATCATACACAGATGATTCTGATGAGCTAGCCCCATCCAAAATCATGGAAGCCTATGTTGCTGAGCAAAACGTCCTAGACTCCTTTGCTGAGAAGCTCATGATAAAAATAAAGGCTAGGCTCGGATATGGATCATTGCAGCGACGATACGGTCCAAGGAAGGTCATTCGGAGGGATCATGAAGGTGCTCACGAGCGTCTGGTGGAGGATTACTTTGCTGCAGATCCACTCTACCCCGAGAGTATGTTTCGTACAAGATTCCGTATGAATAGAGGTCTCTTCCTCTGCATTGTGAATGCCCTAGGTGAGTGGTCCCCCTATTTCACTTATAGGGCAGATTGTTCTGGTAGAATAGGGCTCTCGCCATTGCAAAAGTGTACAGCAGCCATGCGCATGCTAGCCTATGGCACCCCTGCAGACGCACTTGATGAGTACTTGAAGATTGGGAAGTGCACTGCATTAGAGTGTTTGGACAAGTTTGCAAAGGGGGTGATTCAGGTTTTTGGTGGGGAGTACTTGCGACGCCCCACATGGGAGGATGTTGAGCGTCTTCTTCAGGTTAACGAGTCTCGAGGTTTCCCTGGAATGCTAGGAAGTATTGATTGCATGCATTGGCGATGGGAGAAGTGTCCTCTTGCATGGAGGGGGCAATTCACCCGCGGCGATTATGGAGTACCAACGATGATCCTAGAAGCCGTTGCTTCCCAGGACCTTCGTATTTGGCATGCTTTTTTTGGAGTTGCTGGGTCAAATAATGATCTGAATGTGCTCAATCAATCCCCACTGTTTTTTGATGCACTGAAAGGAGAAGCCCCTCAAGTCCAATTTTCTGTCAATGGGAATGAGTATACCACAGGTTACTACCTTGCTGATGGTATATACCCAGAATGGGCTGCCTTCATGAAGACTATACCACTTCCCCAAATAGAGAAGCACAAGTTGTTTGCCCAGAAGCAAGAAGGGGCAAGGAAAGATGTCGAGCGCGCTTTTGGGGTATTACAGTCCCGTTTTACCATTGTCCGTCGGCCTGCACGTCTATGGAAGAGAAAGAGTGTTGGAAGGATCATGAGGGCTTGTGTGATTCTCCACAATATGATAATCGAAGATGAGAGAGAGCAGGCAAAAATTCATATTGACTTGAATGAGATTCCGGGGGCTTCATTTGCTCTACCTCCCGAAGTGAATGTTGGTGGTAATCTATGTTTCGCAGATGTGTTGCGTAGAAAAGCTACTATTCGTGCTCGTCCACAGCATGCCCAACTTAAAAGTGATTTAGTCGAGCATATCTGGCATAAGTTTCAAAACAGCCATCATAATTAATCATGGTGGGATATTGATATCTGCATGTTCATATTCCTTTTTTTTACTGTAACCTTGATATGTTACATGCATTTTTATTTCAGGAGTGAGCTGTGATGTGGTGATTGCGGCAGCTGTTACTTATAGGTATACTTTCTCTGATCTTAAATTGTTCTTTTCGTTAACCAAATAGTTCTGTACTCTATAGTTTAGTCAGTGTGAATGTATTATTGCTTAAGAAATTTCTTTGATCTGCCAACATGCTTGTATAGAGAGTGAGGTCTTCTTTATAGCTTGTTCTTCTTCGTATTGTTACAGTATTTGTTTTTACTGAACCTGTGTAGCTATACAGGATTTATAGAAGTGATTTTCTCCAGCATTACTACTCAGTGTTACTTCTTGATGTCACATGCTGTAAGTTTGCATTGGCTAAATTTTTAAGCTTGACCCGGTTCCTTTTCCATACAGTGGTTGAAGGTTATTGATGCAAATGAGTGGTTGCTCCTTTCCAGCGAAGTACCCTCCATGCTTTATGACTTTTGTGATCGTCCAGATCAAAACTATGATTGTTGCTTGTGGTCGTGAACGGCTTGTTTGCCGGAGATGTTATCTATTATGTTTGCTGAATGCTTTCTTAAAGACTTATGTAATCTTAAGTAATTACTCATGATGCTATGGAGTAGTATGATGCTGATGTGACATGTTTGGAGTACTATGATGCTGTATGACATATGTTTGTTGCCTAAATGCCAGTCAATCTTCCTATTTCCTGGTTGCATGGATGGCATGTATATGTATGCTCTTTGAAATGGCCACAAAGATGTTGTTTACTGTAGATCACAGCAGATCATATGCACCTGCAAGCAATAAATACTTCATATTAAATGGAGCCATGCTAATAGCCAGCCAAAACGCCATACTACTATATGAGAGAAGGCTTTATGATGACGTGGCATTGCTATATAGCCAGCAGCCGGCTGTGCTATTATCTTTGCTCTTACTGCTAGCACCGCCCTTGGGTCAGACCTGTCTGTGATTGAAGGCATTGTCAATTAACTGGTCTTTTGCTAGAGCATGGTCAGTCTCTGCATCTTGCAGTCTAGTGTATGTATACTTAATTCATCACCTTGGTTTAATCTAATCCATGGCGATCTCGATGGGCGTGCTTGCTCTTGCACGTGGAGGAGTGGGCCATCCTTGTCAGCGGGCGGGCTGGGTGGAGTGAGCCGCGTCAAGTGCATAGATGCTTCCACCTACCGCAACTTTTTTTCTTTTTGAGGAATCTACCGCAACCTTAAAGCAATGAGGAATCTTGAGCTGTACTCCCCCCGTCTCCCGTCTTCCATCTCCTATTGACCTTGTCTGAACCTTGTATGCAGTGCCTCTCGCTCTTAAGCTCTTCATCCACATATCAACAGGGCAACCGGGGATGGCGTCGTCGCCGCCACTGCCGCGCGTGTGCGTGACCGGCGGCGGCGGGTACATCGCCTCGTGGCTCGTCAAGCTGCTCCTCTCCACGCCACCGTCCGCGACCCACGTACGTAGCCACTAGCTTAGTAGCCACTGTAACGGCTGCACGCTCACCTCCTGCTTCTTGCTCGTCTTCCAGGCGATCCGAAGAATGCGTGCCTCGAGCAGCTGGATGGGGCTCGGGAGAACCTGCGGGTGTTCAAGGCCGACATGCTCGACTACGGCGCGGTGACGCCCGCGCTCGCCGGCTGCGAGGGCGTCTTCCACATCGCCACTCCGGTGCCCGAGCAGGAGATGGTTGACCCCGAGGCAAGTGTTCATCCATCTCCTGGGCCAGCTTGTCAGTGTAGGATTTCTCCTAGTCGTACTTTTATCACTCACTGGAGTGGAGTAATGTGGGAGGTAGTTCTGGACTTCTAGCCTCCCCTTCCAAAGAGGACTAATGCGAGCGACTCAAGCAGATCTGAAGAACAAAAATTAACTTAGACGGAAAGAAGTGCATTGGACGAGTTAATTGTTCAGTTATGAGATCTACAAGTTCGGCTTATTCTAAGTCAATTTTTTTTTACAAAATGGATGAGTACCCGGGCCTCTGCATCACATGATGTGCACATCTATTTATTAATGCAAACCGAATATTCAAGTTTCAAACTAGTAAGACTAGCCACAATGGGTAGTAATATTGACTAGTAACATAAACATGTTACTAGTCTATGTTACTACCTCTACAGTGGGGAGTAACATATGTGTGATAACATACACCAATTAATTTATTAGGCTATAGACACATTTTGCATTGATATGTGTGATGTTACTCATAGTACTAGTAACGAGCTATGTTACTACTTTTCTCTCTTTCTTCATTTATTGGTTGCCACATCATCTATTTTATCTAGATATATGTGATGTTACTATCTATGTTACTCCCATTGTGAGTAGTCTAAGATGCCCGTGCATTGCACGGAGCACCAAGATTGAGGGTGGATGGCAGCGGCCATCACAACAGATTGTTCCGTGGCCTTCTGGATGTGGTGGGGAAGAGATAAGGCTGATTGTGAGAGACAAGGAGTTGTTTGTAAATATGAAAACAAGTGTCGGGCATCTTTTTGCAAAACTGTAGCAGTTTGCTTTGTATGCGTCAGATCTAGATCCAACGGCTACTGTTGAAAGATGGCAGGCACACCATTATCACCAACTCAGATTTTTATAGGAGTAGAATAAAGATCCGAAAAAAGTAGAGGTAAAAATTACAGGACAGAATGCCACAATCGGCAAAAATAGAAAAACATGTCTGCACACATATCTTATTATTGGACCGTCATCCAAACCGGATGTATGTAGCGTGCGCTACGGTTGACTAATTTTATAGGTACTACATCCGTTCCAAAATACTCCTAATTGAAGTTCTGAATTTGTCCCAAGCCAAATGTGTTTAAGTTTGATCAACTCTAGAGAAAAATGATCTGGATTTGGGCTTATCGGGCCTTCATTCTTGATCACTTCTTTCGGCATTCTTGTCACTTCTACTTAGGCTTTGCTGCCATCCGGACCTAAGTTTCTCGTCCACAACACCATAGAAATGTTTATGGTTGTGATATATGATAGTTGGTAAATAGTAAATTTACATCAAATTGCGTTACAGTTTTTTCCTAACATTAATTGTGTGTAGTGGATTTTGATGCCCAGAAAATGAGTTCGAAATGACTATTGCATAAGGCCTGAACATGTCCTATTTTTGTTGTCCAACGTTTTTTATAGTAGCTGAAATTTAAGTTCCAAAGGTTTTAGTGGTAAGATGGAAGTGGAACTAGTATATATTTTGCATGGTATGGTAGAAATTGC